GGGGACTTTCAATAACTATCGATAATCTCATCTGCACAGAACCCCCGCCTCTCGGCGTTATCGGAAAGTTTGCAGCGTTTCCCCGAGCAGCGCGGGGAAGGCCAGGCCGGCGGTGGATCCGGCACCTGCCGCTCCGCCCGGGATTAGGGCGCACCTGGGTGTGGGGGACGCGGGCTGCCGGTGGTTAAGCCCGCCGGCCCAGCGGACGCGCGGGGCAGGGACCCCAAGGGCCGCGCTTGGCAGGGCCGGCGGGAGGCCTTTGTTCGCTGCCCGGAGCCCCGGGGCTCCAAACCGCGCGCCGGGCTGCGGGGAGCGAGCGCGGGCGCGCGGGCGCCGCCGCTAATTGCTGCTAATTTTGTTTCATTAACTTTATTTACTCTTAAACCCCTTAATTGTTTTCCATTTATTTTTAGTAATTTTATAATGCACTAATAATCCCCCTCAGTCTGCGGACGCCTCCACCCCCTCCTCCTCCCCTCCGTCCCTCCCTCGCTCACCGCCCCCCCTCCCCGCTTCGGCCTCCCAGGCTTCTCCGCCGCGGACCCGGCTCGGCGTGGCACTGGTAGCAGGGCATAGAGGAACCAAGGGGTGAGCGGGTGCCTGGCGGGGGCCCGTGGACTCCCGTGGGTCCTTCAGCCACGAGTTCTGCAGGGAGGGGGCAGGCCAGGACAGAGGCGGGTCTCTGTGCCTGAGGCCGGAGAGGCTCTGATTTGAGCTGCTCCTCTGATAGGACGGAGCGCTGAGGCCCCGCGAAGGGCAGGGACTTGGCTAAGGTCACAAAGCGTCCCAGAGGCCACTCTGGGGCTGGGCTGGGGTTGGCGGGGCCAGGCCCTCACGCTCCTGCTTCTCTGGTTCCTCTCGTGGTCTGAGCGGGTCTGCAGAGCGGCCTGAGCTCAGGGCTGGGCCGCGTGGGGACTCGGTTCGCTGCTGCTCAGCTCCTTCGCTGGGGAGCCGGTGTCCCCGCGGCCCCCGCCCCTGGCCCTCAAGACCCAGCCCCGCGCCTTGCCGGTTATTAGACAGCTCGCGGGACTGTCTGCGGGCCGCCTCTTTCCTGCTAATTATCACCTTATGAAAAGTGTTTCATTAAGGAACTCTGCTTTTGATTAATTATCGACAGAATGCTGACCAGAAAGAAATGAAATTAATCTCTGACCCCGTCTGGGTAACACTGGAAATTCATCACATATCCTTTTAATATTGAAACACAGTGCAGAATTTTAATAGAAAATATTGTTTTTCCAAACCTCCAGTCTTTATTAATGCCCCTGGGCAGGGAATGATATTGCTGGCAATATAGCAGTCTTTGTTCATTTTAAATTTATTAAACATAATGCACTTCATTTTCAAACATTTTACTGTTTCTTTTTAATTTCACTCAGTGTAAGTACAGAATAAAACCTTTTTAAACATTTAAGATATTGAAAACCCATATACGAGTGTATAACGGGAACGCTCCGGCCATCAAATAAATTTAAGTAGAAGCAATTGTAATTTTAAGCTCCCAAGTATTATCCCCTTCAGACATTAAGGCAGTATCCGTAACCATCAAATGGAAGTGTGAGGAGGAGAGGCTGCTAGGCTCCCTGGCCCCGGGAGACCTCAGCAGAGGGCCCGGCCTAGTGGAGCAGCCCAGCAGCCCCTCCAGGCCGCTTGGCTTGGCGGGGTGGGCACTATCTCTTCCGTTTTGTTGGTCCAAGAGAAATGATTCTTGGAGGCCAGGATGCTTGTCTGAGAGGAGAGGTGGCCCCATCTACCCACTCTGTCCAGCCTACCAAGGGCCTACCCTTCCTCTTGAATGGACACGGGGCTTTCCTGGATTGGAAGGCAATTCCTTCCTTTGAGAGTCATGCTGGGCTCCCCTAACCCCAGCAGAGGTGCTTTCAGGCCTGTCCCACTGAGGTGGGCACCTGGCCAGTTCCCAAGCCTTAGGGTGGGGGCTCCCCTGAGATCATGCCCCGCCCCTCCTTCCGGGCCAGCAGCTGCCAGAGGAGCTGGGCCAGGCACCCTTCCTTATCCTCAAACCGCCCCCAACCCCGCATAACTACCCCCTTCATCCCCTTTCCCCGAGGAATCCAAGCTCCGAGTTTAATGAGTCGTGAAGTGTGAGAACTTCCTGAGACCCCAGTGCCCCTGATGCCAATTCCAGATGTGCGAGGTGGGAGGGGCTGCGGCTCCTGGCCGGTGAAGACCTAGCCACCCTGGTCGGACTCCACTGTCCTGCATCCAGGTTCCAGCCATCCAGGCCCTGAATTGGAAACAGGCAACTTCTCCACTGAGAAATTACTCTTTTTATTTCTTGTAGCGTTCCTGGTGCCCTATTTCACGGCACCGACAAACGGAATATTACTTTTAAAACACTATGAAATACCAGGTCCTGTCTTCAGTGCTATTTCGGGGGGATTCAATTTTTGCTGAATGGGGAGAAGCTCCAGCATTTCTTTTGGGGGCTGATTGGTGGCTCCATGGGAGGAAGAAGAAAATTCTCAGGGATTGACTTGGCATTCTGGAGAGCCTTGTTGGTGTCTGGGTTCACCCACCTGCACTTACCCATATGCTCACACCCAGCAAACATGTCTTAGACAGGGTCAGATACAATGCGCAGCACATTGTACCAGACCGCTCCTGTGCGTTAGCATTCTTTATTACTCGCTAGGCGAGTGACTATTTACAAGGTTATCTATGATCTATGATTTATCTGCCGGCAGGTCTCTGTTGATCCCCCCGTGTCCCCCCCCCCATCCCAGCACTCCTCTGTTTGGTACCCTGATCTCATGGAGAAGTTACTCTGACGTGCTGGAAAAGAAGTTCCTCACTTTCTGTGTTAGTGAATGTTCCATTTTGGCCAGACCTCATAGCAGACAACTTTGTTTCCCCGTGTTTGTGGTCAGGGCTGGGAGAGGCACTGGAAAAGCGGGCTTTTCTGGAAAAATTTCAGTGCTCAGTTTGAGTGGAGATGGCTGCCCCCTCTTGCTTCTCATCAGGGCAGCAGACAAGAACAGGCTGCTGGGAACCAGGAGAGGGCCTTCTATCTGCTTGGGCCTGCCCCCTCCCTGCCCGCAGCAGGCTGCCCACCCCTGGGGGCCCTGTGAAGCCAGGCTGGAGGGGCCTTTCCCAGGTGCTAGGAGCTGCCAGCAGTGAGGTCTGGGGACCCAAAGTGAGCCTGGAGGGAAGTCTGTAAGGTCAACAGCCTGGGATACGTTAGGGTGTGTGTGGGGAGAGACCTTCCCCAACCCCACAAATAAGAAAGAAGCTGGGGCATAATCAGTGGAAATAACATCAGAGTCCCCACTGATCCTCCCGTTACATTCTGTCTTCCAAGACCTTTGCCCAAGGCTATTGTCCCAGTCCCCTGGAAGAGGAGAAGCCAGGAGTGAGGACAGAAGGACCAGCCTGGCTGTCCTGTCACTCCATCTCACCAGGCTAGGGCCAAGGAGAGTCCAGAAAGGAAACACTAGCTCAGTGGCCTGTGAGCTTCATTTCCCCCCCTGATCTACTTAAACAAAAAACAAACAAGCAAAACAAAATACAGAGGCACCTGGGCTACCCCTCATGTCCAGTGCGTCCTGCTGGACCTGCGCAGCCTCCGCAGGCTCCTGGTTCAACCGTGTTGGAGGGTCTCCCAGTGTGGCCCACCCCTGTGCTTTCAGGATCTAAGACTGCCCTGCTTCTGGGCCAGAAAAGCCTCTCACCAGGTCTGGGCCCTGAGTCCTGGGCCCCTGCTGTGCAGAACCCACTGTCTCTGGAGTTAAGACTCTCTCTCTCAAAAAAAAAAAAAAAAAAAAGATAAAGCGATTTAAAGATAATTAATTGCATTAAACTATTGACTAACTACCTCGTTCAATAGTAATTCATTTAGAGAATATTAAAATCGGAGGAACAATAATAAAATTGATGCCAATTCTCACGGGGAGGGAGATGGCCAGCAAATTGGATACTTTTCTTAATCTGGCGTAAATAATAACACGTCTGCTCCCCTTCTCTCTCAGGCCGATTCCCGTATCATTTATTCCAGACTCTAAAGCCGGGTTTCATAATTGATATCAGTTACTCAATGAGTGCTTTTTCATTTGTTCTTGTTATCCGTGATAATTGCGAAGTTCAGCCTCTCTCAGAGTTGAGATTCGGCTCTACCGTGGAGGCCTGCCTGGTTCCTCCAGCACAGCTCAGGGGCAGGACTGGGAGGTGGGGGGCTCTGGCTGCTGCCCCGCCCCCAGGCGCTGTTGTGCGCCTTTCGGGGTAGATGCACACAGCCCCCGCCTGGGGCCCAGATGCAGGGACCTGACTGTGGGGGCTGGAAAGTGCGGGGGCCTTCCTTGGGGCATGACCATCCGAGCCCCGCCATCCCTGAGAGGCACATTCAGTGGCAGACCCAGGGTTCAGAGCTGCGGCAACAATCCGTTTTTCAAACAAAAACGGTGAATCCCAAACGACATCTGGGGAAAAAATGCCACAGAGCCTGGAGGAGAATTTGGGAGCTGGAGAAAGAGAGGGACACTTGACTGAGGGGCAGCTGGACCAGGGGTGGGGCGCCGCAGGGAGGGATGCTGGCTCCCAACCTACTCTCCCTCTCTGAGCCCTGGGCACAGGATTGTCACAGACAGGCCGGCGAGGAGCCCCGGCAGCCAGTCCGGTCCTCGAGATGACTATTTGTTATTTATTCACTTATTTATTCATTTATAAAGTGTTTACTTAGCTCGGTGCAGATGTAACATCTCATTTACAGCGCGGCCTCGGGGCATAGAAACAATTGGCAACAAAAGAGTAACTCCGGAGAATTAGAGAAACACACACGCGCGCACACACGCGCACACACACACACCAACAACAGAGCTGGGTTGGGGGAGCGGGTAGGGCGCAGAGCGCGGGAGAGGGGCCAGGACCCGCCTCGGGCTCTGGGAGGCGACCCCGCAGGAGTCGGGTGGGGGCTGCGCGGGTGCGCACTGACCCGGCTCGGCTGGCTGCGCTTAGGGCGCCTTTGGAGCGGGTCCGGGCCTGCCCAGGACCCCGAGGCGGCGGCAGCCAGGGCGGCCCCACGCAGAGCGTGCACCTCTGCTTCGCGGTGCCGGCCCCTCCCAGCCGGCGCCCTCAAGTCCTCTTCCCGGGCCCAGCGGAGGGCACGCAGGCCTCGCCGCGGACCACCTCCTCCCGGCCCCCATCGCGGCGGCCTGAGCCCCCTGCAGCCCGTCCTGGTGGCCGCGTGACCATAGCCGCGCAGCGGGGAAACTGAGGCCCCGCGGCGCTGTGGCCCGGGCGCCCGGGAAGGTGCGGGGAGCGGAGGACTCCAGCTGGGGCGCGAGGGATGGAGGGGGCGATGGGGGGGCGCGCTGGCGGGACCCCGGGCCCGCCCCTCCCCTGCGCCGCGTGCGGGGTCTCGGCAGTGGGTGTCAGCCGGCCGCTCACAGAAGGGGCTGCAGGGGGTCCCCGCCCCCCCGCGGGCACCCGGGCGCGGACCGGAGGCAGCTGGGACTGTTTAACTGGGAGCCGGTTGCTTGGCAACCCGCGGCGGCTCATTACCACGGCCACAGTGATTAACCAAAAAAGAAAAAAAGAAAAAAAAAAAAGAAAGAAAGAAAGAAAAAGAAAGGGAAAAAGGGAAAGAAAAAAGTAAGGAAGAAAAAATAGGGGAAAAGCTGGAATATGAAAGTAAAATGGATTATTTAATTAGCTAATTGACAATCAACTTCTTCTTAATTATTGACTTAATTAAGAAAGCGTAGCCCCAACACTGCCCCCATCCAGCGTGCTGGTACACTGGCAGGATTTCCAAAGGCGCCCTGCTCTTCCCCTCCACCTCTACCTCCAGCTGCTGGGAGGCAGCTTCCTCTCCTCTCAGCGGGGTCCCCATCCCCCCGGCCACCCCAGGAGAGGGTGACTGAGAGAGATTCTCCTCTGACAGCCAGGACAGGGGCATCAACCAGCTATGCGGGAACTTTCCCAGAAGGGCCCAGGGGTGCTCTTCCTTCCCTGACTTCCCTGGTTCAGGCGGTGTGTTGGGTGCCGGGCTGTGCTGGACACCCCTTCCTGGTGGTCCTGATGCTCCAGTGCTGGGCAGGCAGGAGCCCTGGGGGGCACCGGCTGGGGCCTTGGTAGTCACCATCTCAAGCATATTCGGAAGAACCCGCCGGGTGACTGCTCTCACTGTCTCCATTTTAAGGAGAGGAGAGTGAGGCTTATCTCACACACAATTTTAGGGGCAGCCAAAAGTTCAGGGAGAGTGAGCAAAGGGAGAGGAGGTGCAGTCGGAGACAGGTGGGAGTGGTCATTTAGGGCTGCAGGTTGAACAAGGCAGGATGGGGGCTGGGAGGGTCATGGTCTAAGCTGAATCTCAAAGACTGGCTGAAGGGCACGTAATGGATGGTGTAATGTGTCACAGGCCCCTTCCACATGGGTGCCCTCTTCCCTAACTGCGGGGACCCCCCCAGCTGAGGCCCTCCCTCAGCATTGCCCGGGCTGAGGGGGACTGCCCCCCAAGGTTGGCTCCTTCACTGCGGATACAAAGGTCGGCCGTGGACCTCCATTTGGGTCAGCTCTGAAGGACGGAGCCCTGGAGGCCCTGTAGGGTGCAGTTTAAAGTCTCCTTCTGTCCAACCCCCTCCCTCCCACCTTCCTCCCCCAGCAGCCTCCACCACAGCACACAGAGCTCCCTCTCTGACTTCCCTGATGTCCTGCAGCCGCTGCCCAGGCCAAGAGGCCCAGCAGACAGGGCTTGCTGATGAACTGGGAGGTGGAGAAGGACAGAGGTCCAGCAGGACATCCCATTGCTGGTCTTCTGGAGCTGGACACTGGAGATGTGGGGGCTCTGTGCTGGCTCTCAGAACAGATATGTACCCCATCTTCCCCCTTGTTCCTCCTTCTCTGGGGCTCCATCTTTCTACTTTCCCTCCTTGCTCCTCTTTCTCAGATTCTACTCTCTTCCTTAAGGCCCTGACCCCCAGCCAAGCCCTCTCTGGGATTCCTTCTGTTTTCTGAAAAGTCCAAAGCAGCCACTTTGCTGGGGGCTGGGGTCTTTTCTGAGGGGCTGAGCAGGAAAGGGAAGGCAGCCCCCACCCCAGGGGACACTGCTCTGGACCTCACCCCGTGTCCTCTGGGTGCTGAGGGTGGGTGACAGTGCAAGGGCCGCTGCTGGAGTTGGGGAGCCCCAGCTGGGACCCCTGGCACCAGTCACTGAGACCCACAGACCCTGGCAGGGTTGAGGCCAGGCCTGAGGCAGGAGGGAGGACTTGGCCAGCCACCCTGCTCTGCTCTTCCTGCTTCAGGGCTCCGTGAAGAGCAGAGAGGCCAGAGGAAGCCATGGAAAAGCATGTTTGTTGGGAACCCTTGCAGGTTTGCTTGAGGGATTGGGCACAGCTTCCTGAACTAGAAGGTTAGGGAGGGCAGGGCAGACCCCCAACACTGGGGTCTCTTTCTGAGCCTTGGAAGGGTTCAAGAGCTCTCAGTTTGCTCTCCTTGAGAGAGCAAGGAGAGTGGCTGGGTGTGTGTCCCAGGCCGGGGCAGCATTGCAATCCCTGTGTGGGGGAGGGCCTGGACTGGGTTGTCTTCCTCTGCGAGCCACTGTCACAGTTACCCAGAGCCCTTGGTCTTCCTAGCTGTGAGCCTGAGGTCCTGTCTGCAAGAATATCTCAGCCAGCCTTGCAGAGACTGTCCCCTCACAGATTTGGAATTTCAGGGATCCGTCCCTCCCACCCGCCCAAGCTCAGGCGTTCCAACGACATCCTGACCATCTTCACACTCCAGGATGACACGGAGGCTTCTGGGCCCCAGCATCCTGTGAGAACTGGTCAGATCTGGGTGTTAAGATGTGCCTGGGATTTGTTTTAATCAGGAACAGTGAGACATGCAGACACAGAAAGGACTGTCTTGAAGAAGTTTACACGGATTCCTGGATCCAGGAGATGAGGCCCACCACGCAGGACTGTGGGGACTCACCAGGAGGCCAAGGGAGCCAGGGAAAAAGCAAGGCCCCAGGGCTTTTATGTGGTGTCTCAGGGGAGGAATGTGTGATGTCAGATCAGTAAATTTGAGTGAGTTTAGGACTGGCTAGTTTGAATAATTTTGGCAGGCTCAGGGGCATGGAGGTTTGTCCCTATTTGTCTGGTAGCTGACCCCAGGTGATTAGCAGCAGGATGGTGCCTCCTGGAGCTTAAGAGCCAGAGACAGGAGGCTGTTCAGGGTGGGCTCTGGATTGGTTGGTTTGCATTTGAAAAAGGCATGGTCCTGGGGCAAGTTATTTACTGTCTGGGAGGAACAGTCTGTGCCCGGTCACAAGGCCGCAGATGCCAGAGCATCTGAGTACAGAAAGTAAGGGGTACCTGGCTGGCTCAGTCGGTGGAGAACGCCGCTCTTGATCTCCGGGTCATGAGTTTGAGGCCCACCCTGAGTGCAGCGATTACTTAAAAGAAATGAATAAATAAATACATAAATAAACAAAATTTTTAAAAAAGGAGTACAGAAAGTATGAAAACATGGTGAACACACCTGCCCCCCCCAGCTTTGTGGGGGAGGGAGGCTGAAGGTTCAGACCCGTTACTACTCATGGCCCAAACACAGGGATTGAGGAGGGTGCTGGCCCAGGGCCTGGGGGAGGGGCCGGGCTGGAGGGCAGAGCGTCTGTGGGGCGCACTGTGGGTGGTGGCCCCGGGCCCAGAGAGTGCTTTTCTGCAGATCTGTCCAGAAGTGAGGTGCTCCCCAGCCCTTACTGGGGGCCAGCGAGGGGCCCCGAGCTTTATCATTGCACTCAGGCTTGACCTATCTTAGGTGGGCTCCATGCTGGCTCAGTGGGCTGGTGAGGGCAGCCACTTGGGTCACTTTGCCCAGAGGGGAACTCGGGGCTGACATTGGGTTGTGTGGAGGCTGCCCAGGCACCTTTCTGGGAACAGCCTGACAAGGCAGAGTGGGGCTGCGGTGGTGGGGTGTCTGTGCAGCAGCTGGGGGCCCCTGCCCTGCTCTGCAGGGAGCAACCTCAGCTTCCCACTAGTCACCTGGGGGTCCCCATCCTCTGTTTCCCGACCTCGTCAGAGCCTGAGGGTTGAGTAGCAGCCACAAGAAGCCGGAAGGATGGTCAGGTCGATTTCCCGCCACCGGACTTTGCCTCCCTCTGCGCTGATTTCCGGGCTTGTGACTGGTGCTGACTTCTAGATGCCTCTCTCAGAAGGCTGAGAGGGGTCTGAGCACGGGGCCAGCAGGGTCTCCGCAGTGCGGGAAGGCCCTGGGGCCTGAGCCCCCGGGCATGTGCACCTCTCTGATCCCTCCCAGGGTGGTGGTGAGGATTTAGGGGGAAAACAGATGCAATGGTCTGAACTGTGTCCCTCCCCTCAAAATTCACACGTTGAAGCCGCAGCCCCCCGCACCTCGCACCTCAGAATGTGACTGTATTTGGAGGCGGGGGTCTTTAAAGAGGGGATTAAAGTATGATGAGGTCACTGAAGTGGGCTCTGCTGCAGCAGAACTGGGGTCCTGTGAGAAGGGGAGATGAGGATGCAGACGTGCACAGAGGACCACCACAGGGGTCGCAGGGGGCTGTCTGCAGGCCCAGGAGAGAGGCTCAGGAGAAACCAGCCCTGCCAGCACCTCCACCTCTGACTTCTGGTCTCCAGACCCGAGAGACCACATATGTCTGTGGCCTCAGCCCCCTGCCTGGGAATTTGTTCTGGGAGCCCTCGCAGACTAATGCACCTTCCGTCACAGGGCGGGCACGGGTCTGGCGTGAAGGAGGTGCCTGCTGACTGGCCTGGGTTACCGGCAGTCTCACCTGGGCCCTGGGGTGACTTTGGGGGTGGGGGTTCTGACATCCCCAGGCCTCAGTGTCCTCACTGGGGAAGTGGCTCCCGCTGGGCCTCTCCAAGGCTTGGGGACAAGTCTGTTCCCCCCAGGAGCAATGCTAAGGCCAGGAACAATGCTTCGCTCTCCCCCAGGCCTGTGGAGGGGTCCCGCATGTCCCTGCCTGGAAGTCAGGGCTGTCCCCCAGCCGAGCTCCAGCCTCCTCTGTCTCCCAGGGCTTTGGGCTGAGCCATCGGGAAGTGGACAGATGTCTCTTTCGGGGGCATGCTTCTGTGTCTCAAGCCTTCCTTACAGGCAGAGAGGAAGTTTAGGCTGGCCTTGGCCTTGGCTTCTGTGGAGGGAGCTGGCCTGTGGGGTGGAGGGCTGTTCCCAGCTTTTAGCTGCAGATTTATGTAAATATGGATTATGGAATTTGGCCCCAATTCTCCCTTCCCTTTCCCTCCTCCCCTA